AACGAGCATTACGAGACAGGCTGCGTGAGTGCGGCAAGCATGAACGGCTTGTCCGTGATGTGGGATTCGCGCCGCATGGGGCAGAGAGGAGGGAGTATGAGAAGCATTCACAGACACAGGCTGTGTGTGCGCTCTTCTGAATTGGGAAACAATAACATGTGTAAGATAACGTTCACATAGGTACTAACAAAAACATCTAAGAATGTATCTTTTATTCTCCAGTACTGAAAACAGAACCGATAAGGGAGCTTTTGATATGTGGCGTGACGCAGCTCTTGCAAATTACCTTTTTTGTTCGTTGTCTGACATTTCGAAGCTTAAGTTGCATATGGTTTTCTTTAGTTTTAATTTGTCTAACTATCGATCTGACCCAATAGACGCCATAATCCCACTCTGTCTCTCTCTCTCTCTCCCGTCCCGCTTTCTGTTTTATTTTATTTTTTTAATGGCGGGTGTTTACGCAGTTGGCTAGAGCAGTGCTGATTGGGGAGAACGGAGGTGCGCTCATTCTTGCCCAGGGCAAGTAAGACTGCAACTCAAGGCTGGCAGTCATGCATATGCTCTAGAACAGAGTAATATCGTGTCCACATCGCAGGCTTTGCGATTAGCAAATCGCAACGTCTCAAATCGCGATTTCGTTTTAATTTTAATTTCGATTAATCGCACAGCCCTAGTAACCAGAATACCAATAATAACCAGATTTTATAAATAATGCAGGATTTTTTAAATTATGAACGGGCCTAAAATGAGGGATATAAAATATGCATTCTTACAACCAGCACCATAATTAGGGAAAGGTTAGGACGATTCTGGGGGCCCGGAGCAAACAGGGACGTGAACTATTTTGTGAACCACAAAAACAAATCCACATATTATCATTACAAAACCCTAGTGTGTAAATGAGCTGAGTGTGTGGATACTATACATAGATTTGAATAAGGATAAACTAAATATAGTCACTACTAATATAGTCTAATAAACACTAATATAAACTAATATAGTCAATATTGCCACATGCAGTAAACATAACAGAGATTGTACTAACTGTCCATATCTGTGTCCATGTCCTCTGTCTCAGTAGCTCCTGCTCGTCCCCAAGGAACTTGATCACCTGATGTGGAAGTGGCACGGTTCACAATACATCCTCACATAACACCTTATCTTTAAATGCTCCACAAATGAGGAAGCAGCGAAATACCAACCTTTAGCAATGCCTCCATCATACCACAAGATACGAGGGCCTCTCCACCTGCATCATAACTAGCCAGGTGGTAGAGGAAGGAGAAGAGGGCTGTGGCAAATTGGTGGGGATAGGGCTCCATCAGTGGGTCTGAAGCAAAAATAAGAACAGAATGTCACCAAACCTGAAACCTAAGAAAACGGCTCAAGTAAAGAAATTAGAGCTAAAAGTCTATCTCCTCACCGATCATGGCCTGGATGCAGTTGCGGACAAGCACAGGCAGAAATCCATGGTAGGAGGCCGTTCCTGTGCAGTCGATAATGTTGGAGAGTTTGGGAGTGCGCTCCAGGTGAACTATGGATGTCAACGTGCGCAAAGAGGCGGCCTTAATGTCCTGCAACAATACAATTGAGTAGGTAACAATTGAGGGTTCATAAAATCTAAAAGCACCTTTTCTGTTTGAGTAATGCAATACTGCCAATTCTTGACAATCACTCTAAAGAAAGCAACAAGTACATATTAGGGACGGGTCACGATTCTCGAATATTCGATTAGTTGATTTAATTATAGAATATTGAATAGGCTGTGCGATTATTGTCTAAAAAAATCCCCATGTTCTCGGTGCTGATGCGGTGGTGACGCTCATGTAACCAGGGTGTGGCGCCACCATAACGCACCTCGTCGACTCTTTTTTTCATTTAAATCTTTATTGCAAGCAATTCTGCGGTTCATAGAGAACTTTGTTTTCATATTTCCACAAGTGCATCTATTATTGCCTTGTTTATCTAAAAGTGATCTTTTCCTTGTTTTAAACCTAGCCAAAAAGCCATAGGCCTGTGTGTTGACTGTGAAACACAGTTGACTTTAATTATATGCATTTATGGTGTAATTACTACATTTCCGTGTCAATCCATGTTAATTTTTACCGCTGTCACTTTAATTCAGCGTGTGCAGCACATAGGGTTGGGTACCGAAACCCGGTACCAATATGGCACCGGTACCTATGTAACCGGTATGTACTAGAACCAAATCTGAACACAGATTTCGGTGCCATGCCTGAGCGATCGATTGAAATATTTGTCCTCTGGTTCTCCGAAACGGATGTAAGAAGCATCATCACTGGCACCGCACGTGAAAAATTATTTCCCGACTGAGAAAATGCACGTGAACTCAAGTCTGAAAGCTCTAATAATACAAATCCAACACATCTTTGTAGTAACGAGAGTGTCCATGTTGTTTTCATATTCCGACTTAAAAGCACAACTCGAGAAATGAGAATATTCAAGGAGTGCTTGAATGCAGTAATTACACTTGCTCTGATGGCAGCAGGTAGCCTTCCGTTAACTAAGCTAAACATGCTTAAATTAACATGCCTAAAGCTAAACCTCCCTTGTATTCACATTTCTAAACCTGTTGTCCAACAAAAGAGTAGCCTACATTATAACCTTTTTACTCCACAACACTAGTGCTGTGTTCAAAATATCGATATGACGATGTATCGTCACAGAGATTTGACGATACGAGTATCGATACAGCTGGCCCTGTATCGATATTGTGGCACGTGTGCAGCAGTGGACCGCGCTTAATTTGTTTAAAATTTTACGTTTAAAATTGAGTAGAAAATTGCGAGGTTTCTAAAAAATAATGAATAGAGCATATATAGGCTACAACAAGGTTTAATCTGGCTCAGATGAACACAACCGGGGTTGCCTGATATAAAGAGACGTAATCCCCAAAACAGAGCTTCACACATGCGCAATACGGAAATGTCTGCTAAGTGTGCTACTTATCTGTGTCAACCTGGCAACCATGTGCACGCGCTCTCTCTCCACTGTGGATAAACGCGCTTGCTTTCTGAAAACAGCAGTT